CGCATGTTAAAATTCTGAAGTTAATTTATGGAAATGTGTGTTACCTGTGCTAGTTCGTTGTTTGTTTATACTACATTATGTCATTATTTAGTAAATACTACATTTTATAATAATGTATGTCTATTTTTTATGTAAAAATGGTTGTTTCTGTTACCATCTTTTTAAGCAGTAAATTTTCTTAGATTTTCAACTTCAATTTTTTTTCTGGTAAGAAAAGTAAAAAAGTGAGTATGTGGGTACCACTCTGTTGTACCTATAAGTGTCGAGTGAGTCACTAATTCACTGTAATGGACATCATAGTATTAAATTTGAGTTCAAAGATATATTAAAGGTTTGAAGTTCAACATTTTTTTGACGTTGGTATTACTATTATATTCCATGATTAATTATTTCTCTTTAAACGATTTTTTATTATATAAATTACAGCAAAAAATTATTTTATTGTGAATCAAAAACGAATAACTGTGGATACTTGAAATTTTCACTAAATATTTATTTTTTAAATTTTCTAAATATATTGACTATTTAGTAGTTTGACAATTTACTTAAAAATATTATGAGTGGGGAATAATATTTTTATGTATATTACATATTATTATAAATTTTACTATAGGTAATGATATAATTTCAAAATATTTTGATTAATTTTAAGTTAATACTAGGGCTGAGAATTTCTGCTGAGGTCACAAAACAATGTGAGTTATCTAATACAAGGGGATCATACTCAACATTTTATGCAGCATATTTTTTCGTTATTGCATATAAATGCATATTTGAGTACCTATAGTATATATATTAAGATTTATATATATATATATATATATATATATACAGTGGTGTATTGGTAAATATATTTATGGGTATACGCACTAATAAAATATGTATAATCTACCAAAAAAAAATTTTCTCGCTTCGCTCGTAGTCAATAATCATTACAATAATTAGGTGACTTAATCTCTTATATTATATTATTTTTATTTTATTTCTTTATTAAATTTTCAGTATTTTTACTAATATAATAATATTAAAATTAACACTGATCATCAATGGAACCGACTAGTATTCATTCTTCTTTGTCAAACGATACTACGATAAGTACAATAAGTCGTAAACTCGAATAGCAAGATTCAAGAAGGAAAATACCCATTATTGCAGTAACAATAATTTATAAATAAATCTATAAATAAACACCATAAACCATTTAATTGGCCATAGCCTGATAAACACTTAATAACATCAGTGGTTACAAAAACATAACATCGCAAGAAACACATTTGCCGCGCGTTATAAATGACATAATACAGGTTGAGAACCATGGACTGAGCATTCATACTCCATATTGGTAATATTACATAATATTTTAATAACATCTATTTTTCAAAATGTTATTAATAAATTTAATTTAAAATTCATTATTATATTAAAATAACAATTTTTCCTATGAATAATTGGTTTTCGAGTTATTTTAAGAGCGTATACCCGTAAAATGATATTTTACATTGGGTATACGCCGAAAATCGAAAATCTGCTGACGGGTATACGGCGTATACCCGCGTATCCGTACCAATACACCACTGCATATATATTACATGTATTATATTTATTGGAACATTTTGATGTTACTAAATACTAATAATATAACATAAATATCTGTACTTATAAATTTTTTTTTATTATGTGTACCTATACAATAAAATAAAATATAAATATTATCGTTTAAGTAATTTACTATCTGGCCGATAACACCGCGACGCGTGTAGGAAGTGAACTTCAGTTGTCCGTCATAATTTATCGCATATACTGTTGTTTGATTATCATGCAATTAATTTTAAAGTTTTCATCAATATTAATTAAAATATATTTCTTCGTATATGAATATTATATAATTTAGAAATCATATTTTATACAGGGTGATTCACCAAGCATGCTCATCCCCTTTTATTTCTTTAATGACCTTAGTATGAAGTTCTTCAAAATCTGATTTTTAAATTTATGTGGGTCCTCTTGGACAATATGACAATTTTTTTTTTGAGATTTTTTTGTACCCCTTAGGGTGTCTTTTGGAAATACAAACTTCTGTTTTTCAAATGAGAACCCCCTTTTTATATACTGTTAATAGTATAGAAAATACTTTTTCCGAAAGTGTTGATGTATCAGAATCTAAATTCGTATGAGTAGTTTTAGAGTTATTTAACTTTGTGTACTAAGTATAAATGTATAATAGGTAATATTATGACCATCGACCACGATGATAGGAAGTGTGGAAGATATGGGGGCTATGATGATTTGAAAATGTTAGTGATTAATGTTAATCCATCAATATTAATAATTTGTAAAAATGGATCAAGTACATAATAAATACCTACTCGATCCAATATTTTATATATTTCAGCAGTTCTCGACCTTTTTATATCCGCGTACTACATATACACAGTTTGAACATTTCCACCACTTGACCAAATAACCTTTTTAATGTATCAAAAATGTATACTTTACTTCAAATGTATACAATTTTATTTTATCAGGAACTATAAAGTTATGACAATTTAAGCATTTAATCCTCAAAAAGAAAATTAAATATGTAAAATTATTATTTATATTATTATCAATATCTATTAACCCAAATAATATTTAATGTAAATAATGTTCTATTTCATTTTTTATATAAAGGGATGTTTTTTGAGTACCACCTATATGACCTTTCCGAGTACCGCTATAGTGATATAAAATCATTGTATATGAAAAACGATCTTTAGCGAAGACGGACGTCAGCCTGCAATATTAAAAAATATATTTTATGATACACAAACGATTAACTAAAAAATAATTTAAAAACTTTCGAGCTTTTGATAAATCTTGTCAAAATTTGACCTTTAATAAAAAAAATCGTGTCTATGGATCTTTAATATTTATTAACTGCTATGACTTATGAATTATGATTATATGCTTGAAACTACTTACGAAGAGCCTTGCGTTAAATTTTAAAGTTTTTCGACCCAACGAATACAATTTTATTGACATTCAGGAAAATACAATAAAATTGAAAATGTCTATAAATAACTCAAAACTAGTCGAAATATTTTGAAAATTATATCATGGTAATGAATAATGATCTAATGTCTAACTTCAAATCGCTTCAAATGCTCGTATAAGAAATTAATTTGACTTTCCTGTAAATTTCCAAAAATTAGATACAAATACCTAGGGAAATTCTTATGAATTTCTAACTCAAAATAGTTCATTTTCGTGATTTTGAAGAATTTTTTCAAATCTTCAGACGATTTAAAAAAATATTGTGAATTGACGCTCAACTGTTTTTAATACCCACATTTTTATCGACAATAATTAAAAAAAAAACTAATAATATAAGCTAAACCAAAACAGTAAGATCCTTGTTCAGGACCACAATAAATGTTTTTTTGAATTTTTTTATCTGTGTGTACATTACTCATTTTGTGTTAATAAATTATACATTATATATATATGTATATATATATGTAAGTATAATGTGAGTAATAATTAAAATTTGTTAAATTGTCGTCATGCGTTGACTTAAATAAAATAAAATACTCGAAATTGTCTTATGCCTATAAATAGCTCAGAGTGACGCAATATTTCGAAAATTGTATAGTGCATACAATTTCCCATGTACAATTTCATGTATTTACGGTTATTTTTTCCTAGAGTTACATTAAAAAATGAAATCGATTTTCACAAAAACTGGTTTGGCCTTTAAATCTCAGTTTTTTTATTAATTTTTTGTTGATTAATAAACTTGATACAGTCATATCGCATATAGCAGAATATGAACTAAACTATTTTGTGAAATTTTGTGAAATTTTGTGAATACACTAGGAGACTTTCTCAGTTGTAAGGTCTATCGCGGAATATTATGGGGAATGCAAATATGTGTAACACTGTAACGTGTACTACAAACAATGGATTTGTTAAACATAAATATTTGCATAATATAATATATTATATTTAATTATAATTTAAAATATACATGTTCATACAACTTACAAGTATACAGATATATTTTATTAAAGCATCTAAAAAGTGGATCACGGTATGAATAAATACGCGCTCGTAACCTGTTCATGGCGTATTTGCCACGGTGATGGGACCGATGGAAATGCGTATAATATATTATAATTTATAATATTAATTATTATACATATTATAGTACACAATAAACTTAAGTAATATACTAATATAAATGATTATGTATCGAGGTATAAATGTGCAATCTCCATGGTGTTAAAACAAACTAACCTTACTTAACCGGCACTAGACGTCTACACTGAAAACAATGTAAATATGTAATATACTATAATAATATGTTAGGTAGTTTTCTAATACTATGTATGCTTTATGTACAAACATATAATATTGAAATCGCATCATATTTGTAATTCGTACCTAAACATTAAAATATAAGTAGGTACTGCAACTTAAACGCGCCGCACTGTGACGTGCTTTAGATACCAAAATACCTAATAAAGCGAAATCATACAGCGCGCCGAATAGCAAATATCAAATAACAAATAATAATACTAAATATAAAAGCCTGGGATAAGAAGAACTGAAAAGGTAAAATCGAAGACTGGAGAGGACGAAAAAATAGAAGGCGACGGCCGAAGAGACCGCGAATTGTGACGGTCAACGTTGCACATAGTACAAACTACAAGTGTCGAGTTCAAGGTAGGACACGACACGCGTGCGCGGTGGGACCGCGGTATGCAGTGGTAACAGTGGTAGCGGATGTGGTATTCTGCTCGTCTTCGACACAAGTCGTCCGCTACGCGCACCACCGGTGCTCTTCGGACGGCAGACGCCAGTATAATATACACTATACAGTCGTGGGTAATAGTAAATAGTATAGTACGCCACATATTCTGTCGCTCCAATCCGATAGGTGTCGCGGGGCAATACGTTCCTCACCGGCTCACTGCAACTCGACCGGCAACCCCTCCCTTTTCCCAGTCGTCACTGTTATAAACAAATAACAACATAACATCGTACGGAATCGTACTCGTCCGGCAGCGGTAGTCCTGCAGTCCCGTTGTTGCACTCTTCGTGTGCGCTCGTGCCGGTCGTTCGCGTCTTGTTGTCTGCTGTTTAACGCGTATCGTCTTCTCCACGTCCGAAAAGCCTTGTCGTCGTCGTCGTTTAAATAGATAATATCACGACACAATCGGTACGTATGCACATGTGACATTTACTATTGTAGTAATAACGCAGGTTATTTTTTTATTCAATCGCAATGTATTATCATGTCAATATATAATATGTCAATATTGATGTACGATATGAAGAAATGAATAAAGGCTACTCTCGAGACTCGACGACAGTATTACATTATGTTAATACGAATATACGATCGTTGCGGCTATCACATTATCGGATCAATAGGCATTTTAATAAATAAACTTGCGTTCATCGTTTGAGCGGTTGTTGTAGCGTACGGGGTTTTCCGACGTCGGACCGCTCGCCGGCGTTTTCGTCGCGGCGAAAATCGATTTTCCGCCTCGCGGATATCATTTTGTGTTCCCGATTGTATCGAATTTTTGGGAAACTCACAACACATCATCGTTTTCGTCTCCCCAGCAGCCGCCATAGATTTGTTTACTTTAAAATATTTTGAAGGCGCAGTGCACGCGCAGGCGCTAGTATATTATAATATTATTTTGATGTACTACGACCCTCTCCATCACCACCCCAAAAAAGGGCTCTTGTCTTGGTGGTAGGTATGAATTGTACTTTAAAACCGTGCGTGGTGTGTCCGCGGGGGTGGCAGCCGCTTGGCTTCCGCCTATCCGTCTGTGACCAACCCCAAACCATTACCGGGTGTGCGCCTCGTCGCCGCCGGTCCACCGTCTCTCCGAAACGTTTGGACGGGCTTCATTTAGTATAAGAGTTTTATATTAAATCATATAGCAATAATATTTATTAAATAATACCATAATTATAATAATATGTTAGTGATATATTATCATATTATTATTATAGTATACTTCTCAGGCTCCCGACAATATCGTAATCGACATAAATGTATAATTATAACTAATATAGCTTAATAGCCCCCCCCCTCCCCCTGGGGGTTGTCATATTCGATAGTTGGTTATTTTCACCGAGCTTTTACTCGTCTGCCCGCAGATATATTTTTTCCTTTGAAAACTCAGTTTCTTGCAGTTATAGTATACAGATTTGATTTCTGCACTAGTGCTGACCCATCAATGTGTTTTTTTACTATACTTCTCTGTACTTGCAGACGTGTTGATTAATTACTACTGTACCAGTGTACTTTGTAATTATTCAAATAATATGTTTATACGTATTAAAAATGTTATTGATTCTTCGCAAAATCCCGACCAACGACCAATCCAGTGATCCAGCTATTTTACGATTTCGTAGGTTTTTGTCACAAACCACAGTATTGTGATGAACTTAAGAATTGGTTTTTTGTTGGTTTTGCTACGTTATTTATTATTGCAGAACGTATACTTCACTGACTATATGTATATTTAACGTGATTCTCCATAACGAAATGCCATGAGGTTTATATTTAAAACTTTAAAGGTCAGTCATTTGTTTTTATGCACGTTCAGCGAAATAACACCAAAATTAAAAAACTTTGGTCCTTTATTATCGGTATTCCGGTATTTTGTTCCAATGGTTTAATATAATTTCCCATTTATTATTGTATAAAATTAGTTATTAGTTATTATTATTTATTAGGTATTATTTATTTGTATCGATCAATCCAACTTCTACAACTTGTTTAACGTTTGTCGTTTTTTGTTGATAGACATTCAACACGACATGATGAAAATGTTTGATTTTATAAATGTAAAATATAATATTACGTTACCTACGTATTGTTTAATTATATATTCATGTACATTGTGAATATGAGTACACAAATATAAAGCATTGTACGTTTGTTCCCATTTAGTATAATGAAAATCCTCTTAATAAAGGTTAGGTATTAGATACCTAAATGTTAGTACTTCAATATTTCTAATTATTTAAAAAGTTCTATTTTTAATTTTAAATGGGTACTTAATAATAATTATAATACGTGTTGGTATATTATAACATTTTTGAATTTACTTACCTGTGCATTTTTTAAAACATAACAAATAACAACAATATCGTAACAATCCAAAGTTTACGTAAATAAGTAAATAATGTTTATAAATTATCACCAATTAAAGTTGAAATTTAAGGTTATCTAAAAATAATACAAATATGCATTAATAACTGCATTATAATTTATAATATTATATAAGTATAGATTTCACATTGTGCGTTATGTGTATAAATTATACTGTATTATATTATAGCCATTAGGTACCTACTTATTGATAATTTAAATTAGAAACTGTTTATTCTACCTATTTGATGTACCTATCTACTTGTTACAATATATGCTTTATGGTTATACACTATAGTGATAAATAATCTATAATGATAGCCTGTTGGCTGTTGGTACATCAGTATATGGTTATGGTGTACTCGTTATTCATAGTAAAATAAAAATAACTATATAAACATAGGTACATTAAATAGTAGAGTAGATTACCTATAGGTTGCATGAAGGCTTCATTAGGTGACAGAAAGTAATGCAAATGATGTGCTTATTAAGAGTGATACGGTTTATTTAGTATTGTAAATTATTGAATCCAAGGTTGAACGTAATCAATTTGATTTTTAGATTTGGTACGTAAAAGAAAAATTTTTATTAAGATAAAAACAGTTCGGAAAAAAAATAATTTTAATCCACTAAATAATTTGTTAACGAAATATGTCTAAAAATAGAAATACATACAAGTAATAAACTATTAATATTTTTATAAATGATGCACTAAATAAAACAATCATTATAATATATTCATATATATAAAAAATAATGTTTTATAACTATCTAATTTAAGAGAATCTAATGATATTATTAATTTATGTATTTATACAATTAGGCCTATTATGATTTTTATAAACTATAAGATTGTTTTTGTTTTTTTTTCAGATTGATTTTCAGTCATGAACGGATTCAATAATCATGAAATCAACGAAGGAGGTCATAAGCATTCAGTATCACCATGCAGTTGCTGGACAATTGGTTTGGTCAATGTTGATTCTAAGCGTTATTTAACAGCCGAAACATTTGGGTTCAAAATCAATGCTAATGGTGCATCGTTAAAAAAAAAACAATTATGGACCTTGGAACCAAGCTCTAATAATTCACTATTAAGTGATGGTCCTACTACGACAATTCGACTTCGATCACATTTAGATAAATACTTAGCAGTAGATACTTTTGGAAATGTGACTTGTGATGGCGATGATCCTACTGATCCCGGAACTGTATTTCAAGTTTCTGTAACTGATGGGAACTCTGGTAGCTGGGCATTGAAAAACGTAGTACGAGGTTACTTTTTAGGTGCTTCCTCAGATAATCTTAAATGCACGGCGAAAGCAGCAGGATCCAGTGAACTATGGCTAGTTCATTTAGCTGCAAGACCTCAAGTAAATACAATTGTTATGATCAAATATGTATAATATGTAGTTTATGTTAAGACACTATTTAATCTAAATATATTATTTAAGGTGAACCTGAGATCAGTTGGACGAAAACGTTTTGCTCATTTGTCTGAAAACTTAGATGAAATTCATGTTGATGCAAATATACCTTGGGGCGAGGATACACTTTTTACCCTCGAAGTGAGACCTGATGATGACTTCAAATATGCCATACACACATGTAACAATAAATATCTATCTAGAGATGGAAAATTAGTAGACACGTGTACATCCAATTGTTTATTTTCACTTGAGTACCACTCAGCTGGGTCTTTAGCTTTGCGAGACAAAGTTGGTGGTTATTTATCTCCAATTGGTTCTAAAGCACTTCTTAAAACACGATCACAGACAGTTACCAAAGACGAGTTGTTTACTCTTGAAGATTCTTTGCCACAAGCAAGTTTTATTGCTGCTCTCAATTCAAAATATGTATCAGTTAAACAAGGTTAGTAACTAATTAATAAAATATTTGATAATATTTGGAATTCGATTAGGTGTAAATGAATAATTATTTGCTGTCCAGATCCTCTGTGTTCTTGCTAAATTCTGTCAGTTTGAGTGTTAGTTTTACTCCACAGGTTTCACTTAAGTAGATCATATCTTACCATTAAAAAACTTTGTGTCTGACTTTTAGTCTATTAAATATTGTTTTTTTATTTTATTTTTAATGTGTGGAAAACAGTGTTGCACATGTCACTTTATTCGCCACTTAAAGATAAAAGTAATGAAGTTATGTTGATTGTTAATCAAATAAAATTGTCATGAAATGACTTCATTTTTTTATCAGGAAATTACATATTTACATTCATCTTTTATGTTAATATAAATTGTTCACAGGTATTCCTCTAATTTCTCAACATTTGACACACAAAAAAAAGTAGAAAATAGTAATAGGTTTAATCTGAAAAAGACATAAACTTTTTTTTTTCTAAATGAATGAACTTTTTAGAAATTAAAACAACAGTTTTTTTAAATTCCCAATACTCGATACGATAATACATTTTATTATTTTGATACAAATATACAATTCTAACACAATTACTGATTATGTTACAAACAAAGTTAGTAATGTTGTTAAAATAGTGGGTTGCGTTACTCCCAAACACACTGGATATTTTAAAACAAATAGTTTATACCATTGAAATTAATTAATATAGTTCTCAGTTTTTATGGGTACTGTCTTAACTTGCCCTCCAGCAAAAAATTATATTTAATTTTCTTATTTTAAATTATATACAATTATGTCATTGTGATTGGTATAATATAAATTATACACAAAAATGTAAAAAAACAAAATACATAATTATACCTAATTACAAAGTTAGTTTGACAATTTGTGGAGAAGTAACTTTCATAATACTCAGAAAGTTTTAAAAATAATTTTAAATAAGTACATGTGTTTTGAAGTTCCGTGAATGATGGGCATTTTTTGAACAAAGATTCTGTCCTAAATTACAGCACCTATAGTAATTTGTATGGAATTCAACTCGCAGCATTAAAACCTGTTTGCTTTCCTATAACATTTTACATATTATTTTTTTACGCACAGATAATTGACCCCTTTAATTCAAACTACATTTTATTAAAATTTAATTTGTCATGTTAATAATTAATACAATGAATACATGGGTTAATTTGCTTAGTAGTAATATTCCATATAATGTTTTTATTTACTCATTCATTTTAATTACCCATGCATTTAATTTTTTTCTTTAATTATAACATCGAATTATACACATATAGTTGCGTTTTTTCGGATTTATTTTTAACAATTTATATTTAACTCTGCAATTCATATGAAATACTAAGTATCATTCGTCGAGCATTAAAATACTATGTCTATATATTTATATGAGTATTTAATTTTGAAAATTCATCGTGATGAAATTCAATGTGGCTCATTAATAACTATATCCTATATCGTACTTTTATATAGTTAACAATTTAAATAGTACTTAGTAACTATAGGTATCCACTAGAATAATAATAAATAATAAATAATATACTATATTTTGTTTATGTACGAGTTTTTTTGATACATCCTTAAATCATAATTTTTTATAACTATGTTGTTACAACTGTTTTAAGAATAATAATATTGTGGTACACCGAAGGAAGTTCATACTATTATATTATTAGTTATTACATGGATAGAATAATAAAACACAGTGAATGCAATGAATCAATAATGCGTCATTCGTGTTAGTTTTGTTTAATAAAATCCTTAAACAATTTTTTTTACAAAATGTGTTCAGCTAAAAATCGAATTTACAAACATCCATGTCATGTAAAAAATAATACTATGCAAGCAAAAGTAAATTTGCTAAAAGTCACTATAGAAACTGCACCATGCAGTTAGGTACTTTTTAGTAATTTCTTATATTATGTTCTAGTTTATATTTTTTTCATTATATATTAACGTCGACTACTCGTCTTGACGTCTTGTTAAACACCACAGTTCGAGGATTAAACCAATTATAACACAGGTGAATAAACCTCGTTTTTCTTCTTTATAATTGTTGTTTTAATTTGACACGGTCTGGCGGAGACGCATTTTCGTAGCTCTTCAAAATACATGGTTGTTGTATCTCCAATTTTACTTACCGTGCGTATCTTCGGATATTCTGTTCGCATACAAATAATGTATATTGTATAATCTAACGACGTCATTACGTCATTCATTCTTGTTTGCATTACAATTTGATTATTAAAATTATTCTTTCTTTATAATATAGTTCTATCATTATTGTTTCCAATTTATTATTATTATACGGATGTATTTTTGTTATTTAATCCGAATTTAATCAACACTACTTGCCGATGTATAGGAATTAAGCGTTAGACGTATCATTATTCATTGTATTAAAGCATTTTATGTATTCAAATATAATTAACGTTTCAGAGCCTCTTTGATAAAATTGTCTTTAAATAACTTGAACGTGCATTGACCGTTGTATTGTAGGTATATCAATTTTTATGATCTCAAAAGTTGGGTAGTTAGGTACTGTTCATAGACGATAGACCTTATACAGGTATACTCTATTAGGATAAGGTCTATGGCACCACCTAGAATACAATACCCAATACATACTGATAGCTACATTGTACACATGGTCATGAATCTGTTTACATACTGTATTACTGGCATAGTAGGGTGACACACCCTTATTTTATCGTAAAACTACGCAAATAGTACTTTTAACAGCTGCGTGCAGTATTTACTTGTTACATTGTATTTAAATCCTAGTGTATTTGAAAAGAAATCAAACAATATTATTTTTTCCTTTTACTGCGTTCATCGTTGTCTGACGAGAAAATGTATTCATTTATTTTTAACTATGCTAAAAAAAAATCAGGAACTATTATCATCAATATTATTATTAAGCATAAGGATAATATCATTATGTAACGTATTTTAACCGCAAATAGTTGATTATCTATAAACAGCTCATTCCTATTTTAATTTAGATATTTTTAGATATTCTGTACGTACTGGTTTTATTAGCAGGTAGTGATAATTATTAATTATAATTTATAATAAACATGTTGGCATAGGTACTACGAATTTAGTTCAATAACTCAATTTGATAATGATATATCAATGAATATTAAAATACCCTTCCTTAATTATATTGTTTTGGTTAAAATAATTTATTATTGAGTATAAATGTTTAATAATTTTAGATAGGTAATGGTTTATAATTAATGGGTAATGAGTACTGACTAAAAAATAATTATAAATATAAATTAATGGCGTCATCAAAATAATTATGTTTTGATAAACACTTTTAACATTTAGGAGTTAGGTATGACTTATAAAGTAAGAGATAACACAATATTTTCATATTTTTTTAATTTCTCCAAACATTGACCATTAACTATAAAAAAACTTGAATACATAACTATTGTTAGATTTGTAAACCATATAATATTTCATATAAGACTATACCATATTAATAATTAATATTGGTAATTAATCTTTTTTGATATTCAAAATTCATTGATAGTATACTACTCTGTGCATTATACAATTATTATAGTGGTTGTACAATTAATAATATTTAAGATACCTTGGAGTTTGTTGAAAGTACTTACAAATTAAACATATTAAAAATTTAAATATTTAATTTAATTTATTAAATGTCAGTTATTATTTTAAATTAAAAATTTGTAATCATTAATCACTATTTTATATGTAATCGATATATGATGAACATAAGTACAAATAAAGATACTCGATACTTTTGAGTATCATATTGTAATACTATATACAATTTATGTATAATGCATGTATCTTGCATGGGTATACTGCTCATCCCTGTGCATAAATAAAGTATATTTCCCATTTTATATTATGAATTACATTTTTTTTTTTTTGCTTTGAAATAGAGCAAGGGAGGCTCTGTGTGAACAATATTACTCCTCTGCTGCCATCATTTTTTTATGTTTACAATACACTAATTCAGATACCTACTCAACACTTTATAAATACAATTATGGTTGCTTCACCTTACAAACTTAAAGTAGTAAAATATTGAATAAAATTGATTAAGAATGGTCCAACTGTCTTTTTGCGGTCTACTGTCGCATGCATCTACGTGTGAGGGATAAGTATCAATCACAGCGATATTATTTATTACCTAGTAATAATTAATATTTTAAATAATATATATGTAATATGTATATTGTACAAATATTATAACTTCGTATACTTGAGTTGCATGTGCATTCAAACTTTTGTCGGTATTAATTACCGGTTTTTATTTTTTCCTAATGTTTCTCTAAAGGGTTAAGATTCTAGAAATTATGTAAGTTAAATAGTTGTCGTAAATATTACACAAATGTAAACGTATTTATTTTAAAATATGTGTCGAACCTAAATTACCTAAACTGGGACTATGATACTCTATTATTATGACTAATTAAAATAATTGATAGTAATATTATTTTTTGTTTAAGAAATTAAAGACTGGCAAAACTCATTATAAAAATATCATGCTTTAAATTTTAATATACAATTATATTGCTGCAGATTCTACAATATTATATGAAACATACGCGTTGTAGACATTTTCAAAAATGTTTTCTAAAGAAAAGAAAATATTTTATTCGTGAGTAACGTGATATTTTGTATGGCATTCAGTCGCCGAGACTAGGTATTTAGAACTGTTAAAATGTTTAGATGGGTAACTGTGCAAAAAGCTTACTAAATTCTCTTCTCAGTTAATGAAGCTAATTATAGTTAAACCACAGTCTACTGAACACATTGAAATAGTAACATGTTGTTTTAAGAATTGGAAATTCTGTATTTTGCACTACCTACGTTTCTTATTCATGTAACAATTATCACAACAGGAGGAGGGAGTATTTATGGATAGTTCTTTTAGATATACATTTAAAATAAATAGTCCGCGCAAAACAATTAATTTAATTGTAATTGTATTCAGTCTAGTGGTAAGATTTAAATTAAGGTGTACCTACTGAAATTAGTCATAAAACATTAACTTTATAGTTAATCTCAAATAAATTAAATTAAATAGTGTATTGTAACATTCTCGAATTCTCACTTCTTTTAAAACTAAATGACTTCGTACCTAATAGGTTATTGTAAAAACTGTTCTGTTTACAAGTAATCTTATCATGTCTAAAAATGTCACCAGTATTTTTTGTCTCCGTCTTGCTCCTGTAAATCCACATGACGGTTGCATGACAATTATGAATAGCACAATATATACGTTCGGCAGTTAACGTTTATCTTGTTAGTTTTTATGTTAAAGACAATTGTATCACCTATCCCGTACCACCTATTATAAACTTAAGGGTAAAAACATTTATTGATGATCGTGCTCAAGGGGTATTCAACGTAGGCACTTGACTTCTTTGCCAACTTCCTCCTAAGTATTCAATATTATTATCAATAATTAAATTATTATGTTATACTAAATCCATACTAATCCGGCCCTGGTTATGTCTGTGCACGCTTATGGTTTTATTGGCGGTGTTTTTTCGATGTTTGAATGTTAAAACGTGTCATGAGGTTTTTTTTAAATAAAATAACGAAAAAACCTCTTTAGTGAAACTGAGAATTTCGTTACCATTACGTTAAATAATAGGTCAATTCAGTTTGATATCAAATCTAACAAGAAGTGAACGGCTAAATAATATACATTTGCTATGTAAATTTACTACTTAGGGATAACAAATGTGGGTAATTTTGCTGGCCTCTTAATAATATGTCTTAAATCTGTTTAAAAACGGTTTCCGTGTATATACATACTATATAGCCTATATAATAATTAAGATAGATCCATATAGCCTTGGATTTTTAATCAAACTTCAACCTAGGTAATTACTCGTTTACCATTTTGTTGTAAAGTAAAGATTTAAAAATTGTAGAGTTAACAAAAAAATGGATCTACTTAATTTCACCTATTTTATTTTTAAATTCATTGAAATATCCAGGGATGTAGGTAGTAGGTACATTGTAACTACCGGTTTCATATAGGCATCAATTTCTATGGGTTCTTATAGAATAACATTTTTTTTAATAAATATAATCCGATTGCAGGGGTGGACGTTACAGCTAACCAAGACGAAATATCCGATCACGAGACTTTTCAACTGGAATTCGATCCTTCCACTAAAAGATGGTACATACGTACAATGCAGGACAGGTATTGGACTCTCGAAACCGGAGGTGGAATACAAGCTGTTGCCGATAAGAAGTATGCGAATTATTCGTCTTGTATTTTACATAAATCGTAAATTTAATATAATATTTATTTATGTTTGATCATTGTTTAATGATATTATTGTTTTTGATAAAAATAAATAAATAGATCATCGAATGCTCTATTTGAGTTGGCATGGCAAGGGGATGGATCAGTTTGCTTCCGTGCGAATAATGGTAAATACGTCTCTACAAAGCGGTCTGGTCATCTATATGCAAATGTTGATGCTATTGATGATGCTTGCAAATATTTCTTTTACCTCATAAACAGGTATGCTCTCCCATAAAATATTTATGTTTTTGATTTACAAATTATGACTATTAAATTACCTATATTACACATTTGTATTGGCTTATCTTTTTAGACCAATATTGGTATTAAAATGTGACCAAGGATTTGTTGGATACAAGTCATCATCAAGCCTACGCCTTGAATGTAATAAGGCATCATATGAGACTATACAAGTTGAACGGTCTGATAAAGGAATTGTATTTTTTAAAGGTATTATCATAAGGTTTTGATTAAAGAATTTATTATTATTTCTATTCATCTTCATTTAGGTCAAACTAACAAATATTGGCATGCAAATGACGAAGGCGTTTCTGTGGAATCTGATGTACCTGAAGGATTTTTTATTGAATTAAGAGAACCAACGAGGATATGCATTAAAAGTGTTACGGGTTATTATCTGTCTGCTGGAAAAAATGGAATGTTTAAACTTGGTGATGGAGATTATAACAATGCCACGAAATGGGAATATTAATGAGTATAATATACAACAATATTATGATATCTTTGAATACGTGTGCACTACCAAATGGGCAAATAAAACTGAAATAAAAAATAGTAGGTGTGCTTATGAATACGACGGGACTTTTTTAATATACATATGTATAACAATAAACAATAATAATGTTAAATCAAATAGTTTAATGATATAAACCCAAGTTTTTTTATTATTATTTATTATTTATAAATACCTGATTACAAATTTCAAACAAGTCTCAATCTCGTTAGTTCTACTTATAAACATAATTATAATATAAATACAAATATAGAATCTGAGTAAAATAATTTAAATATTGAAACAATAATTAATAACCTAATGGTAATTTTATGATAAAAGTATCATACCTTCTATTCTAACAATATTATCACTAAGAGTATCTAAACTTTTTGTGTACTGATAAAATTTGTGATTTACTTTAACCGATTTTCAAACATATTTAATGGTATATAATTCATAGTTTCATAATCATAAATTTAACTTAACTAACACAGCTTTTGTCATTGTTGTCGATTAATGTTGGTCCATCAAATACCCATTGCAAAATGCTTGTACAGTGAATCATCCTATAGTATGATCAAATTGGTTTTTATTTTATATAACTAGTGAAATATTTTCTTTATTTTTGAAACAGGTTTGGTTCATAAATTAAGATAGTATAATATCTTACTTCATGATTATTAATCTTAGATCATATACAATGGATAGGGCTACTGCCTAAACATTTGAAGCCAACATAACTAAAGGGTATTGGGGCAAACGCTCATGAGAGCAATTTATGTCACACATTCATCTGTTCAATTGGTACAACCGTTATCAAGCGCAATTTTTATCACAGCTAGTTAAGTGATATATTTGATAAATATGCAACAAGTACTGATGCGCATGCACAATAGAAATCAGTATCCTTGCGACTCGTCAAAAATGATGTCATTAATACATAGTATTTGTTTATAATGTAGTAGCTCTATCTAAAGTATATGTTTTAAAGTTTGAAATAATATGATTGTAGTGAGAAGTTAATTTTTTTGGTAAACTAGCACAGGCATTATTTATAATAATAAAGACTAAACAATAGCTGTGTTTGGTTATGATAAAGTTTGATTTCTTCCATAGTGTACCATTTATACTATTATTATTATTATAATAATAATACATTTTTTACGTTTAAATACTTAAAATGTAGTAAAATCGATGCACCTTGTAAGGCTACACAAAAATGTATGATTATCATAGTTTATGGTGGTTATAATACTCTACATATATTTTTTTTTTGTTAATAAGCATTTTTATTTATACACTTACTAAAACCAAATAAATAATTATACAATATTTTTATGACCGTGACTAAATTAACTCAAAAAATATATTAAAATAATGAATCAATAATATATTTTAAAATTGTTTATAACCCATGGTAATATAAATGTATACAAATAAAATTTAATAAAATCAGGTTTTTTAAACAGATTTATATTGCTCAATATTGGTATAATTTTGTTTTAAACAAATTGTAAACAAATATATTTATAAACATACAACATTTTTTATTATACATTTTACACTTTTTGTACAAGATAATATAATCATTAGACATAAGTTATATTACATAATATTATGTATTAGTCGCATAATAGTTGAATATATAATATGCTCTCAATATTAACTAAAATTTAAAAACAAAACACAACCTCAATATTTTCCTAATGTGTTTAGTTTAATGTGATTTAATAAAAAAACATGATAAAGATTGTTTTTATATGAATAATGAAGATAATTATACATTTTTAAAATAATTTGAAATCCTTTTTTAACAATAAAAATATTAAAAATGAAATGTGCAGTACTAAATTAGGGGGAAAAATGAAAACATTAAAAATAGGATAAAAAAAATTTTAATTGATTTGTGCAAGCAATGTTGCATATATTAAACATTTATATTATAATAATATATACTAAGTACTGAAGTTCATTTAGTACTTAATAATTGAATTTGAAGACCTGGAAATAGATCAAACAAAATAAAGACTTAAAAATAATAGGTTATAAAAACAATGTGCAAGGAATGTTGGCACAATATATTACACATTTATAATACATATTGAGTATAATATATGACACCAACATTAATTTAGTACTTAAATATTGAGTGAGAGAGAGGTATGCAAATTGTCTTAGAATTCAATATATCATTTATTTATATTGGTTACTAGTCTTCCAAAGAAATAGAATACTCATTTAACATAATATTTATTAACTTTTATACATTTTTTTACGCATTTATGGAGACTGTTTGGTATTTTTTATAATATGTTTTATGAAACTATTTTTGTGTTAAAATTATGTTTGCAATTTTATACTTGTAGTTTTATTTTATGTTTATTTTAATATATAGTATATTATTATTTATTTTTTTTGTTAAAAATATGTATGCTTTATATTTATAATTTGACTATACCCATAAATGTGTATTTTTACAAATATTAGCGCTTGAAATTCCTTTTTTTAATTAAATAAAAATTCTTTACTTATAACATAATATACACTATATTATGAAAAGAGAACAAAATTATTTTTCTGGAATTAATTTTATTTCTTAATTCCATGTGGTCGTGTGATTCAAAAGTTATGTTCTATTATTAATCCTAGTAATAAATTATTTATTTTTCACATAAATGTTTTAGAAAAATGTATTACTAACACATCATTTTTATTATCTATTGCCTATCAATTTATTACCTATTTACACAATGAGAAAATTAATTTTTTTAATTCTATCTATCACTATTGATTTATAAATTTTCATAATGATATAACGTGTTTACTTCAACATCATTTTGTAACTCGATCAGTTTATAATTTATTCAGAGAAGTAAACATAAATCTTTGTTTATGAAATATAAAAAATATGATTGAAACTAAAAATCCCTGCGATTCTGAAGTATATGATTAGTATAATTTAGATTATAGTTATTTTATATTGCAACTTAATAAATAATAAGATTATATCTTTAAAGAATACATATTTATAAATTATGTTCTATCCATTTTATTTACCTTCATGTAGTTTATTTTATAGAAATGTGTGCAATGTTTTTTTTTAAATATTATATAATAATATATTTATAGTCACTTAAAATAGAAATGTTTCATAAATAATATTCCAAAAACAATAATGGTTTAGATATTTAGTATTATCGTTTCACTATATTTCTCTTAAGTAAAAAGGGTATGATGTTTATCATTTTTTTTTTTTATATGAAAAACTATTATTAGTATTACATTATCAAAAATTATTTATTATACTCGATTTATGTAATTATTTGTGTTGGATTATTCTATTATCTGTCAAACCTATGTACACCCACCATATAAAGTAATAAGTAGAGGTTGAGATTTCAATGTACTTTGCATAGTTTGTTTTCTATAGCTATAAATGCCCATTTTATTACACATTTTATGCATTCTTAAATCAGAATAAGAAGTTTTAATAAGCATATTTTTTTTTTTACTATTTTCAATTTTAAAATAACTTAAGGGTTTCTGGGGCATTTAACATATAATCCAGGTTTTTAGATTTTATTTGTACTGAAAAAAGTACGCAATTAGTTCTATAATTAAATTGTATACAGCTTCCTAGTAATAGCCACAATTTAAGACATTTAGGTTTCTCAACTGAGCATTTCTTTTGATGCGCATTGTTTATCTTCGATTATAGCCAGTGAGTAAGCGCATTCAGAGCCCAAACAAAAATTAATGAAGTTAAATAATGAATATGTTTATATTAATTTGATACATATTATATAATATAATTACATATTATACTGAGAGAGCCTAGTTGTCATTATTCGTATGCCGAACAGTTGATTTTGGCGATAAACAGCACATTGCTGGAGATCAATTTCTATGTAACATGTATATCTTAAATTGTGATTTTATGCTTTAGCTGTACAGCTTGAGACCCATTGCCTTAAGGAAAAAAGTTGTTTGAAACATTTTTTACTTTTTTATCACATATCCTTTTAGTTCCATTGGCTCCATTAATTGTGGTTTTAGGACATTTACTTTTGGTCCAATGTGCACAAAAGACAGTGAAGATTCATAAATAGTGATGTTTTCCGTAGATGAAGATATAAGTGGTTTAAGGTCTATCTATAAGTCAAAATCAAGAATAATATATGATAATATTTTTAAGAAAAAACCAAAGAAAAACAATCACTTACTGCATTTGATTTATCACCCTGATTGGCTTCCCTAAAACCATAACATTGAGTTGTTTGGGTTTTATGAAAAACCAAACCTACAGCTGGTTCCAAATGCTGAATAATCAACGAAGCGGTAACTAAGTGTATATCTCTTGGTAATAATGACAACTTGTTACTAACATATGTATCTTCAAGATGATCGAGTCTAGATGTATCGATTAACTGTACAAGAGGATACAACATTGTCATCATAGATGTCATCCCAAGTGCTGTCAGTTGTGGTACATCCATCTACATTGTGAATATAAATCGTATAATTGAACACTTTTGTCGGAAATTATATTTACCTGACAGTTGCCAATGTTTTCTTCAACAAGTAATCTGAATAATGTCAAAGTGGGAACATTATCCAAAACACCTTGGCCCAACCCACGATTGTCGTCTTGTCGCAATCTACGATCCTGTATGACCTATCAAACAGACGACAATTGTTTTGTTTTTTTAAATTTAATTTAAAATATGATTTAGGTGATATTACCTCCATTTGGCCATTAGACAATGAAGATGCACCCAAAGGTTGGACTGATAATAACGATACTCTAGTAGTGTCATCTTCTATATACATTGCACTAGACATTGGATAAAAGTTTCCTTGAATCGGTAGTTTTTTGTAATATTTTCTCCTCGTCATCTAATAACAAAAAATTATCACAATAAATCAACAGTATAAGTATAATAATCTTAGGCTTATTGTTATTACCTGGAATCCATTTAAGTCTGTGTGGAAAATATTATCATTCTTCACCTCGGTGGTAACTCTCATTGAAAGTTCATAATTCATTTGTTGTCTAATATCAACTAAATTTCGTATTTCAACATCACTAGCATCTAAAATAAAAATTGTTAGTTGATAGATGCTTATGAAATATTATCCTTCAATAATATTTTGTAGTAGTTCAGTTGGGTTTATTTAATGTATGCAAAAACCATGGGGATCATTGTGACAAATGGGTCAGATTTCATGAATGCAAAATTAAATTCTCACGTTCTCTGTGTACTTAGCAGAATCTATGGCATGGATCATTGCATGGATAAAATTCCATAACTTGCTTGAAGTAGTCCATGAACTAGACACAAGCATTAGTTACATTCCCGTAAGTTTTTCAATTCAACACTTGAGAAGTTTAATTTAGGACAGTATTTATTTGTGTGATTCAGAGGTGGGCAACCTTTTTGATGTCAAGGGTCACAAATAAATGAAATTTTTTCATAAGTTACAATTTGAATAATATACCTTATTTCATTTTAAATAAAAATGTATAGTCCTATTAAATTAAATTTAATCAAGTTAATAACTATCAGACTCAAGTAAATTAATTTAACAATATATTTAAAAACAAACAATGTTTTAATCCGCCATTTCAAGTCTGTAAACTTAGTTTGTCTTTTTTTTATAGAAATTCTAAATTTTACTATTGGGGTTGCCGACACCAGATATAGTTCATTGTGTTTGATTTTACATTATAATGTTGTAAATAAATTAAAAATGTTGACTTTTTTTATTAGGTTTTGTTTTTTCATACACATTATGTACTTTGTAGTTAGTAAAAATACATCACTTTAGCAAAAAGATAAATTTTAAACTTTATTTAAATTACCTTTTGTATGACGGAGTAGTACCGAGTGTTTTACATTACTGTACTGAATTACCACTTGCGATAAAATATGTCCTTTAATCACATAAATTGTGGGATTGTTTTCTGTGACATGGGCATCAACAGCATCCCCTGATGGCATGAATAAATAAGCACCACTCATGTCTGGACCATAAGCTACATTGTATCTGAAAATAATGATTTGGCATTTCAAGTAAAAAGTATTCACTATTCTACAACATTAGTTACTGTAATTGTACTTACTGCACAAATTTCAAAGAAACCGGATATTGTTTTCCAGAAGATTTAAGAGTAATATTTTGTAACATACCGTTTCGACCAAATGTTACAACAATTTTATTATTTTCAATTGAAAATTCTTCAATAGCACTAGTTTTAATATATATCCTAGGATCCAAAACTTCGTCGATTTTTGGGTTATAAACGCTGATTAGTGACATATACTTCCTATTGAAAAATTATAAATAAATAATACAATTATTTGGCACCTCAAACAGGAAAGAAACAACATTCTACAACTTTAAGTTTTGTATAAAAAATAGAAGGTATCTAGTTTACTTGGTACTAATGTCTGTGGGCAAGTTGATGATAGTATACTTTTTGATTTCCAAAGGACCAAGTTCAGCAATAAAGTGTAATTGAAAACAAGGTGTCATTAACTGTGTGTCTAGAAGATTACAGGTAGAATCGACTTGAAATGAAATATCTGCACCTTCTGAATTGACCACCTGTATTTTATCACATACAAAACCAAATAGAATTATCACAAAATGTTTAAATGCTTAATAATAAGCTGTTAAATTCAAATGATTTCATTCACACAAATCCATAAGTTGCCAAGTTGTTTATGGAATCAACAATATGTTGTCGTATAGATACAAAAAAATTAATTTAAACGATTTAACATGATCACTTATCATATTAAATGATGAATATAAATACTCAGTGTAGTCCATTAACCATTCAATGTTTTTTTTTATACTTAGTGTATATTTAAGCATTATCCGTTAGACTTATTTCACAAGACTAACCTTTACATTTTCACTTGCCACAACCAGAGTGATTATTTCATTTCTGATGATGGATGTCAAAGGGTTGAACACAATAACACTCTGAGAATCTTGATTATGAGCAAACTGTATAACACGACATTGTGCAATACTGTTTGTATAGACTCTTGAACGATCTACATCAAAGTACTTAATGTTTGTATCAAATACATATTGTTCCTAAAAAAAAAAAAAAACATTTCATGTTTTTAAAAATATAATTACCAACAAATTCATCAAAGTATAATATGTATCAGGGCCGGATATAGGTAATCATCAAAAGCAGCAGCTTCAAGTATTAAGTTGTTTGTTGAGTCCAACTTTCAAATACCAACTGTTTCTTACCCTAACCTACCTAAGACCCCCTTCTTATACTTGTTTGGACCATTCCAGAGGACAATCCGGTCCTGATAGGTATGTAAATTACAAAAAAAAAAAACCTTTTCTTGGTATAACAGAAAATATATACAGTGTTGAATGATATGATTTAGATTAGTTAATGAATCCAGCATCCTGAAATCATGATAATAGTTCATTATTTATTCATATTATAACCAAATAGTATTAGTTTACTTTTGTGCATAGTCATTTACTACAGCATCTTTTGCTGTTCCTGTGATTCCATCGTGATGTTGAAACAAACTATGAGCGTCTCTAGCAGCTTGCAAATAATTATACAACTCAGAATTTGGTTTCCATAACCAGGAAGTCAAATTTGAAGGTGCACTAAGCCATACTAAAGAATATAAAATTTCTGCTGCTCTAAAAAGAAAAATAAACATGAATAAATATTAGACAAAATAAATAACACTTAAGTTTTATTTTAAAGCCACTATTTTAGATCTATAGATAGGCTGTATTTAAGATTTTGCCACCCGTGGGCAACTACATTTAGGAGCCAACAACTTTTCTATGTATGATGAATTTTTCCTATTTCAGTATTTTTATACAATAGGCATGTATCTATATTTATTATTCAAACAAAATCAGAAATAACTCTTATGATTAATTAAATATAATTATAAATTATATAGAACCAACTTTTATGGAGGACTGAATTCCACTATTATATTAAATTATTATTCTCATAATAAATTAATGTGATACTGCTCTTTTGTAGAGTTCAATATTTAGATATCTATTCTGTTATAAAATAATAAGGATAGTATTTCTAAAGCATACTCATATATTGATATATAGTACAAGCTTAAAGTAAACGATAGAGATTTATGGTATCTACTATCTAATTTAGTCAATCTACCTAGCCAAAAAAGAGATCATTTAAAAATAAAAACAGCAACCTAGGTACTCAATATTTTCCTTTACAGGGAAAATCTATGAATTATAAATATGAGTTTATTAATAAGTAACTATGACCACAAAACCATACAAAAAAATCAGTCTAAAACATTTTATTGTGTATCAAGTTCAAAAACAAGTGTTAAAAAAGTTATCACAGTTATAGATTGGGAACCAATTTTACACAATTTATAAATAAATTTATTATTAAATTATAATTTTCTGTTTCGTCAAAAGTATTGATTTACTTATTAATAGTCTCCGTAATAATATTGTTGTCCCCTAACATATGCTAGGGTGGATTATTGTCCCGCCTATAGATTATTATATGATACATATTAAATTGATTTAAATAAATTTAGCTTATACATTAGAAACATACCTTAATCTAGCAACTAGTTCTCGATCCATGCATTTGTAAAAAGGTCTGGAAGTGAAATATCCACTCCAGTAATCATGGTCTTTATCTGCGTAAGTAAAGAAATCACCAGTCAATGTTGGAAAATTCTTATAATTAGATGACAATTGTACAGCTTTGAAATAATCGCTTAATGTACCAAATGATGCCTAATAAATTGAAAAAAATAATAAAATATTGAAACCAAAAAATACTTTACTATTTACTATGTAGTATTTATATATAAAACTTACCTCTGCATATAAAGAGTCACTATTGCTATTGATATAATCAAATAATTTTTGATAATTGTTCATCTGATAATCCCATTCTCGGGCCGATGTATATCTAAAGTCATCCCCCAAAGGAACAAGTAATACATTTGTTTTATACAACTCGGCTTTTTTCTTATATTGGTCCAATAACATTAATGCTCTATTAATAAATTATTGTTTAATCTTAATTAAAAAAATATCAAAGTAAATTTTTTTTTATCTAAAATGTAATGTTTAACCTTTGGTGCACATTTGATGAAGTTATTGGTACTGGAAACACTTTCCAAGGACAATTAAGCCCAAATGTTGGAAATCTTTTAAAATCAAATTGACAGCAAACACTTGGATCTGGACCACAGGTATGAGGAATGTCATAATTGTAAAATGGCATCATGTGTGTAAACAACTCATTTTTATTGCTATTGCATTCTGTATCTAAATAAGAATAATTAAAATAGGAACAAATTATTATGCTATTCCATAGATGAAGTAGAAGTCTACATAGACCTTTTTAATTATTATTATCTATAATTATATATACCCCAATGTTGTCTCCATAGAAATTCTAATTGTTTTTGTTTTGCCAAATACTTTTTAATAGCATAATGAGTACGTTGAATGACCAAACTAGAAAATTTCATTCTATTCAAAATATATGGCATAGTTGGAGACACACCAAAAGGATCGATACACCAGCTATAACTGTACAAATAATAATTTAAATAATCATTTCATTGAGTTGTTAGCATAATAAATATAAAAGTTTATCACCCCACATTTAAATAATTAATAGTTTTTGTAAGAATTTAATCATACTTGGCAGTGACATTTAAATTTCTCAGTAGCCACTGATGTCCATTTGTAAGTTGAGTGATCATTGATGAATAGTGGGTATTTGCTTCATCCGTCATTACCCAACCTCCAGTGACTATTTCCAATTGCCCATTGTCAATCAATCTACACACACATAGGCATATGTTTTAATACAAAAAAATTAAAACAAGATAATTAATTAAAGAATGTTAGTTTATACTTCTTCACTTTAATTTTTGTACTTTGGTCAATATCATTCCACCATAATGATAAATATGACATCTCCGCCCATATGAACTTGCGTCTACTGTCTTCTGATAATTTAATAACCATATTATCTAAAATATTCTTAGTATCACTACGATAGTATTCTTCAAAGGTTCGTTTCCACCCAGGATCATTATGTGAATGAGGCACTACAAATATCCTTAACTTATTATTTTCATTCCACCGTCCTTTAGTAATCTTGACATCCCAGCCTTGTTTCCATGCACCTCCATCAATGTTATCGAATTGTAGTTTATCATATAAATCCCACATCTAAAAATTAAATTTCATCAATTGTTTAAGACATTTAAAATCTTATAATAAAACAAAATCATTTTAACAGGCTTATTTGAATTCAGTAGAACAGCATTTAACACCTGTTACTTTAATTAAAATGTAATTGTAAAATTTACTACACATGTTTTGTTTTTGACCAACTCGGTCCAAAGCCAAACACAACGACCCAATCATAATGAACCTGAAATATTTGTCTTATGGCCCGGTTCATGCTGAACTCTGACATACAGTTCATTTAAATTTTGAATAAATATAAATAAAAGATTGCAAAATTGCAATGATAAAAAAAGCCCTAAACGCATTCAAATATTTATTTCATTACTAATAAACATAGGTTTTTCTTTAAGTATTTGTATTAAGTGTTTTATATAGTTTGAAAAATATATCCTTTAATAAATAATCTAGTATTTACCACAGAATATTTAATGATGATAAAATTGCATAAATTAATTTTAAAAATGTATTCAATACCTTACATCAATTTTTTAAATTAAAATGTATAAAACCTAAAATTATAAATTTTACCATAAAATCAAAATAATTTATACAAGTCTCAATTATTTGTAAGTGGTAACTAAACGGTAAATCAAATACCAATACGATTCAGGCACAGAGTATAGGGGTGGAAGGGGGGGAGCAACTTCTCTAGACACCATGAACTACCTAAAAATAATCATTTCTTTCAGAAATCTATGTAAAAATTCAGAGTGTTTATAAATTATAATCATAACCTCTGTAGTTAAATGTGTTATCATATTAAGTGGTCAGTGGGTAAATAGTTTAAATATAATTTTTAAAAAAAGACTACGGTAGACCACCCCAACTGCCTCATCGCTTAACTTCACCCCAACCATCTTCCAGTAAACCCGCCAAGACGTCTCAAAAGAAAACGGCCCAGACCTACTCAACACTTAATACATACCTTTTAAGGAAATTAAATCAAATTAAATAATTTTAAGCTCAGGTGCTTCAAATGTGAGGCTCCTTCATGTCATTCTCTATCCCTTTTATATCTTATGTTATATCTTTTACTTACTGTGCCCCCCTTGTACAGATTGTAAATATTCATAAAATAAACGTCTTTAAAAAAAAGACTACTGCCCCCCTCCCCCATTCCTAGAAGATAAATAAATCCGCAACTAAAACAGTTTGTATTATTATTGTCTCATGGCCTAAATATTATTTAAAAATCAGTTTTATAAGATATTGGTATTATTATGTTCTTTATGGGTCTAAAATTCATAAAAATAACTTACATTAATACTTGGATCACATATTCCACTTGATAAATATGCTTCTTCGACATTATTATGTAATGTAGACTAAAAACATACAATAAAAAGTTAAAATATTATTGAAAAAAAAAAATAGTTAACTGCAATGTATAGTAGATGCTTTAATAATAATGATCCCTAGTTCCTATATGTCTGTAATAATAAAACTTTACCATTAACAAACTAGATGTTTCTGCAGGCTCATTATTTTTATCAATGCTTTCCAAATTATTTGTGTCTTGTGTATCGAGGTGTTTTGACGGTAATTGTAACTTTTCAACATAAGAAATTGGAGTTCTCACTGTTTCAAATTGCTAAAACATAATTTACATAAGATAAATATAATAAAAATACAATAAATTATTTACAAATTATTTGAAACTTACTGAGTAAATATTTTGATTCTCTAATAGAGAATACAAAATGAAGCATATAATTAGAACTATAAATAGAAGTAATAAGATAAACCTTTTTTTAAAGTTCATTTTTATTCTCTAGTGTTGTTTAAATCATGGTGGTGACTACCTTTCAATACTGTTTTAAATAAAATTAGAATAGATTATGTTAAAAAATACAGGGAAATAATAAAAAAAATAATTTTATTATACGATTGTCACTATAATTAATAACGAATTGTGACATTTATGTGTTTTCATATTAAATAACGAGGCTAATTAAATTTGCTATTTGCACTGTTCAATTTCTATCACCATTTACATTTTAGTATTTTACTGATTCACCGCTTTTGCCTTATCATACCCTTGTTTTATCACTTTTTTTATCATACTGAAAAGTTTGATTAAAAACTACCGACCACGGACTAAGATATTATATCTTAGTCTGTGTTAAAAACCATGATTAAAGGTATACCTTTACTTAGAGAGCCTTAAGGTTTTTATTACTATTTATTATTAAGGCTCTTTACCTTTACTAGATGGTGTCTAAAATTATGTTAATCTTTAATCTTGTAAAAAAGGTTGAATATTTATAGACCTTAATAGTTACGTTGTATACAACTATAATTATGTATTGATACGACTATACGAGTTATAGAAGTTATACACTTATGTAGTTATGTCTTACTGCTATTTACATTTATTTATACACTTAAACAATCTGCACCAAGGTGGATATCTATTTATTTTTATTTATTTTATACAATGTAATAATATTAATATAGGTACTGTACCTACCTATAAATTAATGTGAAATAAAAATATATCCACCTTAGTCTACTACACCATAGAGATACAGTAATAATTAGATATTTCTGCACTCGCCACTCGCTGCAGAGTTGAGAGTATCACTCATTGACATAATATAATGTCAATGGTATCACTGCAGAAACACTTTCTTGAGACTGAAGAAATAAGAATCAAATAAAAATAATCATTGAAAAAAATCGTAACAAGATAAATGTACACAATTAATCACGTCTAATCTCTATGACAATATTAGTATTAAAGTTTACTTAATTTAACGGTTGAATACTCGAGTAGTTGAGTACCTATTTTTTTATTGTACCTACTTACAAATTACGAGTGGTATGCACAGATTTTACATTGTTGTTGTCGTTATGGTTTATGATATATATGATATATTCATATACCTATATATAATTACTATGTTACTAAACTGTGTTCCCACATACCTACTCAAGATGTATAAATATTTACCTACATATACATAAATCTTTCACCTACACTGCAACTACACCCTAAATCAATTGTCATATTTGTTTATAGATTAACGAAGTTCAACAACATTCACTAGTTACTAGTACTTACTACAGACTATATTATGCTCAATTATTTGTAGTTTTTCAGATTTTTTTACAACCAGGCTAATATTAATTTTAAATAAACATTATAATTAGTAGGTAACTTACTTGGAATCAGATAGGTACCTACATATTATGATTTATGAGCTAACTGCTAAGCAGATAATTGAAACGGGATTAAATACCCCTCAGTCCTCTATAGTTTTTGATCATTGTAATACATATTATATTTATATATATTTTTATTATTTTAAATTTGTATAATTGTATTCCTAATATTGTCTTCAATACTAATAATAATATTTGTTTTCAACGTTTACAGTATTATTTAATAATTACTGTCATACGAGTATTTATATTTATATCATAAAAAAAACAAAATTTGACTAAGTTATTTCAATAATAATAATGACGTTCATCAGAATACAAATTATCAGCAGTTCAGCACACAACTGTTGTACTTATATATAAAGATCGAAAGGTGATGATAATATAATAAAATAATATAAAATCTATTCTGTTTTTAGTAAGATCCCTATAAGCAGTCGGCAAACACAACAATCGTCGTCCGGCATAGGCGAATCTAGGAATTCATAGCAGGGTGTGCCTTTACCTCAAAAAGGCCCTCTGTAGTTCAAAATACCTCTCAGTTATCACACGTTTAAAATATGTTTCCCATTTGAAATCACAATATTAATAATATTAAATAATATTAAGATGAATTTTTATTACCTAGTTTAGATGCTATTTTTCGTGCTGTAAAATATACATGTTATGTTTCAAAATTATTCAATTTAATAAACTACAACTATTGCAAAGTTCAATATATGTTACTCAGTTATTTTTTTTGGACATATGTCTACCAACAATTAAATTGTTAATCAATTATGTTTAAAATTCTTGGAAGTTTAATACCTATAACATCTTAATTTTATTATCATTAATAACAAAGAAATGCATTAAATATATAACTTAATTTTATTATAATTATAACAAAGAATTGTATCAAATATATAATATAACTGGTAGTAATTAACAACTATTTTTTATAGGTACATTTTATAAAATTAGTCTTCTTTGGTTAGGAGTCATAACTTTGAACTCTTCAATTACATTATTTATGTCCACTGAGTTAGTTAATTCCTGCTCCACAAATAAAAATAAGAGAGATTCTAAGCGATCTTGAGACATAGTGGACCTTAACTTAGACTTAACAATAGTCATTTTTGAAAAAATACGCTCACATCCACAACTAGTTACGGGTATCACTACAAACATTGATAATACTTGATTGAAATTGTTAAATACATCTTGTCGGTTTGAAATGGCCAACCAATCTAACCATTTATAGACAGTATGTGAACATGTTCCGGATGGAATATTTTCAGCTTCTTTTAATAATTTTACTTCTGTTGTTAGTTCGGTTACATTTATTTTGAAATAATCTGCTAACATAGTATAATCATATTTACTCAGATTTAACTTAATTAGATTACCTACAGCACCTATAATGTCTAATGTTTTTGTTAAAAATCTTTTATCAATTTCTCCAATTAAATCATCTAGCAATAAGAAAAATACATTGATCTTCATTTCATCATAAATTATTTCTGTAAAATATTGAGTGGTTTTGTTTGTATCAATTTTCACAGAAACTTTTCTTTTTTTTACCTCTGGAATGGTAATTTCATGTTTATTGCACATCTGAATTGTTTGTCTGTAAACTTCTTCATACTCTTCAGGATTGTTTCTTATTCTGACAATTGCTGACTTCAAACGCACTTGTAAGACAGAGACAACACATGCAGGTATCACGTCCTCTTAAAATTAAAATATAAATTGTTTAATGTTTAGACTCAATACCATTGTAACTGAAATGAGTATTATGGGCCCTATACACAGGTTTATACGAGTCGCAGGGTGTGCCCTGGCACACCAGGCACACCCTGTAGATTCGCCTATGTCGTCCGGTAAACGTTATTCTTTAGTCGTGTTCACCATTTATACATTAAAGTTACAAACATAAAAATATAAAATCACGAGTCTATTGCTCTGGATGACGACTAATTTTGTGTTTATTTTATTGACAACTTCTATGAATGTTGTAACAACTACTTGACATCATGTTATATATAGGGTCACAGGGTATACCCAATGATAATAGTTTAACAATATAACAAAAAAAAATTTTCCCAAATGTAAATAAAAACCTACTTATAAAGTTGAAATTAATACATTAATATAATAATACATGAATAGTATAGTTATTGTATTGATCGATTAAATATTTAAATAATACAAAAAAAACTAATTCCATATAAATGGCAATTCCAAATTAGGTATGCAATACGATATCAGTGTTTCTTTTTTTCCAATTACTTTTTTCAATTTTCATTGGGCGACTTCCAACATATTTTCCTGAAATCATAAACCGTATTTTTAATTATATAATTCAGTTAACTTTTTCTATTCATAAAAACGAAGTAACCATAGTCCATAATATACGTCATTTATAATTTGCTAAATAATTAAATCATTTTATATACAATTTTGAATTTTTAAAGAATCTATAAACAGTATAAACTCAGGGCCGGCGAAAGCTATGGGCGACCTGGGTGACTGCCCAGGGCGCCAGCACTTAAGGGGCGCCAAACTGAAAATTATTTTTATTTAAATTATCTTTTAATAGGCATTGAGTATTGATAATCTGTACAATTTAAAATATTAATTATCTAATGTCGTTTTAATTGAAGATGCATTTGCAATTGTTTCATATTTGTATAATGTAAGAATAAAACAGTGTACATCGATATTCGATACCTCTGGTTTTTATGTAAAAATTATGCGTGGAACTATGGATCACGGAAGCATACCACCGCATTTGTGTGGGTCAATAAAATATATAGATGGTCGTAATAATTATTTTCATATTATATTCAGCGATTTATAAATAAATTCATAAAACTAGACGATTACATCTAGATTTGTCAGAAAAA